ATGACGGCACTTCCGACCGGCCGTACAGCCACGCGTTGGTGGCAGGCATCGACCGCTACCCGCGGAAGGTGACAGCCGCCATGGGCAAGAAGAAGATCGCAAAGAGGTCCAAGATCAAGTCCTTCGTGAAAGTCTACAACTACAACCACCTGATGCCCACCCGGTGAGTTGGGCTGCCAGGAGCCGCCGGCGCGGTGGGGCCAGAGAAGCCTCGTCTGCTTCCAGTGACCGTAGTTCTGGTGTGCCCTGGGCGGTGAATGCTGGGGCCGCTCAGTTTCTTAATTACGTGGCTGAACACACCCGGGGCATCGGCTCTGCCAAAACAGGGACTTGGGGGGTGTGAGGCTGAGGGAGAATATTAGTGAACTTAGGACATAAGGCAGCTGCCTCTTATTTCAGCCACAGTCACTTTCCTCTTGATGATAGGGTGTCAATAGATGAGCCTTTGAGACAGTCGTGAGGGTCTGGGGGTGCTGGCAGAGCTGCTGTGGACCAGTGACATCTCTTCCCCTCTCCTTGGAGCCTCTGCTGGTGCACGCTGCCAAGTACAGTGTGCTGGCAAGAGTGGTTTGTCTCTTGTGGAGTGATTAGCTGTTTCCCTTGTAGGCTGAATTAAATGCCTTTGGATGCTGTAGTGCTTTGGTGATTTCCAGAACTGAGAAGGCTTTAAGACCCGCAGTTCCTTAACCTGGCACTAGTACACGCATTTGGCTGGTTCATACTGCCTGCTGTGTTTTCATCCCTGTGCCAGGTACTGTGACTGTTTCAAACCTTGCTGCTCTCTTGTCCAGGTATTCTGTCGATATCCCGCTGGACAAGACAGTGGTCAATAAGGATGTGTTCAGGGACCCCGCTCTAAAACGCAAAGCGAGACGTGAAGCCAAGGTGAAATTTGAGGAAAGGTGAGTTGGTAGCTCGTCTCTTCAGTGGTGTTAGCCACCATCCCTGGGGTGAGGACTCGGTGCAGTTGCGTGACAGCCTGGCTGACTCCTGCGCAGGACATTTCTGCCCTGACTGTTTTGAGTATGTTTTTGGTTGGTTGCATTCCTCCTCACCTTCTGTGTGTGTTTACACAACCAGGGAGTTCAGGGAGTTGGTGGGTTGAGATGGGGAACGGTTTACCAACAGCCCTGGATGCGGGCTGGGGTTTATGACAGTGCTGCAGCCTCCTGCCAGCACGAGTGGGGCCTTTTCAGGTGCCAGGTGACGGTCTGGCGTTGTGCCTGCCAGTTCATCCACTGCCTGTCACTGGGCATAGTGGGACAGGGCAGCGCTGGCACTTTGGACGGGAGTGTCCGTGTTAACGGTCCTGTTTCCTGTTCAGAAACTCCTTCAGCAGAAGGAGCTGTGTGGCTGCAGCAGGACGCAGGGTGTCTCACAGGCAGCCTGGGCCATTGGCCCGTTGGCTGTTTAAAGCGCTCTGCCCGTGGTCGTAGGCTGTTCTCCCAGGGTGTCTTCCGACGGCTGCCCTCTGCGTGAGGCATCTAGTTGGGCTGCCACGCGCTGCGCTCGTCTCTTGGGGTGGAAACTGATGTAGTGTGGGTGTCCGTCACAAGGTGGCTTCATCAGAAAGTCTGAAAGCTGGTACACGCTTCCCTTGGCGGTTTAAATGTTTAAAGTGGATTCACTTGGAGCCTGGGCTGAAGAGAGTGGGAGGGAGACTCTGGGCAAGCGGTGTGCTGCATCCTGCCCGTGGGAGGATATGGACAGTTCGGGTGTGAGTCTTGTGCTGTTGCCTGCTGGTGCAAAGCATTCTCTAACCTTTGTGTTCCACTTTCAGATACAAGACAGGCAAGAATAAGTGGTTCTTCCAGAAGCTGCGATTCTAAAGGTGTAACAAGGTTACATCAATAAATGTTTACTAAAAACCATTTTGTTTTGTTGTATAACAAAGAGCTAGATCTTTCTCTCTGTGGTGTGGATGTTGTTGCTTTGTGTGTCTGTCAGAGCTGGGAGAGCCACTGCAGTCCAGGTGAGCTCCAGAGCGTCTGTGGCCCGAACTGGGGGTGAAGGTGCCGTCCCCGTGGGATTGTCCTTGGGCAGCTCCTGTGCGGTTGTGGGGCTGCAGCTGTACTTGCCCTTTGCCGAAGGGACATGTACATCATTCCTGTCCCTGCTGGAAATCTGTCATTCCCAAAACTGGTGCTCCCCGAGTGAGAATGGGGGTGGGAGAGGGAAGACGAAAGGTTCATTGCCACCACCTGCTTCTCTCATCTCTTCTCTGGTGAGAAATGGAGCGCTGTGCACAGTGCCTTGCTGCGGGTGTTAGGTTTTCGGTTACTTTCACAAAGGCTCTTTTGTGCCAGCGACAGCCTTCCCCCTGCCTGGGGGACGGGGTTGGGTGTGGGTGTTCAATCGAAGGCATTGCGTGGGGCAGGGGAGGAGAAGCCCTTCAATGCCGGGGGCTGGGAGGATCGGGGCGATTTGGGAAGGGGAGCTCTGCAGGGGGCCAGGCGGGCATCGTCATCACTGTGGGGAATGAGTGGAAAGATGAGTTTTTTCAGGCTGTCTTGGAGGGGATTGTGTGGTGGTACAACCCCCTCCTGGGCCAACAGCAGCACAGCTTCAAAGTCTGGCAAGTTTGGCGCTCGCACAACTGGTAGAAAGCACCAGGATATTTCCTTGTCAGAGTTGGGCCAAAATGGAAAAGTACCTGATGAAAATGAATTATCTCAGACCGGATAAACAGCAACTGTGAGCGAGACCCTGGGAGCTCTGCGGGGTGGCGGGGGGCTGTGGCCAGCACCTCCCCCGAGCTGGGGCACTGCTCAGGATAACGAAGGGCCAGGGCGAAGTCGCGCTTCTCCGGGCTCAGCTGCCGCCTGCTGAGGAAGGAGGTTGCATGGTGAGTATTGCTCTAAGCTCGAGAGGAGGGAAATTTTAACTATAGGTGAACCTCTTCCGTCTTGTGCTCTGCCTGCCCACGGGTTTGGGTGTATACATTAGCCTTTATGGGTGGGGGTGGCTGTATATCTCGCAGGATCCAAACGTTTCTGTCTGTGTGTGTGTGGTGTGGGAAGGGGCACCCGTCGGCCCACGGGGGTCACCCGCTGCGAGGGCGCGCTGGTGCCGGCAGCAACAGACTCGTGTGGTGCGTGTGACCCCTCGAGTGGGGTGTGTGTGCATGTTTTGTGTTTATATGTCAGTACATACACATCTTGATTCGGGATACCCTGTGGTAAGTTAGTGTGAATCTTGTCGTTTTCAAATCTGTAATTAAGTCGCTGGTTAATTATTCTATTGAATCGGCTTGTGAATCCTTAAATTGGTTAATGATTAAATGCTGCTAAAATTCAACGTTTTGCTCTACCCCCACTCATCAATAAATAGTTGCAAATCATAACCGTCTCGAGCATGCTCTTCCGCGCGGGGGGCGGGGCCG